TTTCTTAATTCCAGTTTCTTCTTATCTTGCTTGTTTAGGTTTCCTTGGGCCTCTCATGTCTTTGCTGTATCTTTCAGGATTTATGTACCAATTGTCCATTCTCCTGTGAGAACACTGTCTCCACAAAAGGAAGCTTTCTTTTGCTTTGCCATTGGCCAAAGAAAGCCAAAGTTATTTGCTTTTGAATGGTAAAATTCTGACACAGGAAGGGAAACTCAGTTAGCTTGTATGGTATTACCTACAGGGTTTAAAAACAGTCCAGCAATTTTTTGTATCAGCTAGCACGAGAACTAGAATCATGGAAGCCACCTACTCAGATGGGGACTCTTACAATATGTGGATGACCTATTAATTCCTACAGAAATAAAGGAAGAATGTATCCAGTGGACAGTGGAATTATTAAATTTCCTGGGACTGAATGGTTATTGGGTATCCAAACAAAAGGCCCAACTAATCCAAACCCAAGTTTCCTACCTAGGATATGAAATAACAGGAGGACAGAGAGAACTTGGAACTGCTAGAAAAGAAGCCATTTGTCACACTCCATGACCGTTGACCATCAAGGAGCTCCAGACATTCCTGGTGTTAGCGTAAGGACTGACACATAACCGCCGGAATGGTTATATGAGGTGCTTTATTGCAGCGCTGGGAAACCAGGGGCACGTGCCCAAATCTGGCTTCGACCTCGTCACATCGTGTTCGCAATTTATACACTGAAGGTTACATAACTAATACATATTCAATACAGATTGCATCATTAACTAATACATATGCATTAAGGATTGCCACATCAGTCTTTTATGACATCAGCCTCTTCTGCGCTTGTGCAGCCCCCCTCTGGTGGTCGCCCTGATGAAGTAAGAGTCTTCCTCGGATGAAGTAAGAAGTCTTTCTCGGCTTGTTCTTTTCACCTTTTTGTCCTTTGGACATATCCCAACCATTATGTGAATGCCAGCATTCTTCTATTTTCCCTTGACTACCTCTGGTAATTTCTAGGTTCTGCTTGGATAGAATTTCACAATATACCTCTCTAAATTCACCCATACACCCTTCACCATATATGGTTATATAAGCTCTTGCTACCAAGACTACCATTGTATCACTGGTTACAGGTTAACCACGATACCGGACTGCAGACGGACCTGCAAAATTATAGCTCTTTCTAATCTACAAAATCACACTATTGATTTATAAACCTCTCAAACATAATCGTTCCTACCATTTTATATGATTATTTATCTTTAAAACTTCACTCTTTTCTAACATTTCCCCCCTTTGAAATACTTCACTGAATTTAAGTTAAGTATTTTCATTCTCTTAGGTAGCTGTTTCCTGATAAATAGGAGGAGGTGTGGGAGATTTTGGATGTTCTTTAGTTACTGCCCCTATAATTCGATGGGTCCATGCATTGTTCCGGGGTATTTCCTTTCGAATACAAAAATACATCAGATATAACATTAAAAACACGATTATCATTATGACTACAGTTTGCAAGAAGGAGCGGATCCATCCAGTAAGGTGAAGGCCCAAACTATCAAAGAGTGCTTCAATCCAATTTTGTTCAATGTATTTTCTTTCTCTTTCCGCTTCTTGTTCCACTTTGGTCAGCTGGGAAATATCATATTCTATGTTTGCAGTTACATTAGGAATGTGAACACAACAATGATCTATCTTTCAAATATCCACAATCACCATGTTCCTTGAGTAACAACAGGTCTAATGCCATTCTGTTCTGCAAGGTCATTTTAGTTGTTGCTTGTAATTGCAAATTTAAATCTCTGAATCCTTTCTTTGTCACCCTGGCTAATCTTTTTGTTTGGGCAATCAGTCTGTCAATCATTTCTCTATTTCGATATGCTGCTATTTGTGCAAATAAAGATTCAAAAACCCACCCTATTTTAACCCCTATGGAGGGCTCCTGCCATTTGTCATCATTATCATCATCTACATTTCTTTTTGTTTGAATTTGCAGGGTTTCTAACTTGTCTTTGACTGGTGACGTTTTGCAAATTGGACAAAGAGTTGGTAATCCCAGGGTGATTTTTGTTTTTTTTTTTTTTAACTGGGCCTTCTATGGGTAGGTGAGTAGTCCAGGTTCCATCACTTGCTGCCCAAACAAAACGCCCTATACTACGCACCGTAGAATATTTACAATCTTCATTGCCACTTGGGACCTGTATTCCTTTTCCTCCAATTTTAGTTCCGGGCATGCAAATCCTGCCATTAAAGCAATCTTAACTGGAGGTATTGTGATTTCCTCAGGGTCCGTGCCACAATCTAAAATTTTGGTACAATTCCACCAAGGAACGTTTTTGATAACATCCCGACTAACCCTATTTATAGACAGCAAATCATCGATGTCTATATTCTCTCCTACATTTTGCTTTCCTTTCCATTTAAGACACCAAGATGTATTCCCGATATATTGAAATTTCTGCAAAATGCTCATTGATCAAATTGTGTCCCAGTTCTGTTTTAAACCATTTTATTTTTCTTTCTTTGCAAAGTCTGTATTGAGTTTGGTTGTGTACACAATTGCCAATTATTGTTCCTTTACATTCATACATGGTGTGATAGACTAGTATTTGAGAGGTTACTCCTCCTCGCCTAGTTGTGGCAATGCATTCATTACAGTCGTTGCTTTTATCAGCCGTGGCATTTGCCCATATGGGCCCAAACAGAACCATCGCCAAAAGAGGTCCGGTCAGGATCATAGTGCTCAGCAGTCACAGCCCCAGGGGTTGCAGCCCTTGGCAGACCCTTCCAGCTGCAGCACTGATTCCCTCCGGTCTTGCCCTCTCTGGCAGGTCAGAGGTATATTTCTCGTCAGCTATTATGACAGTAATATTTGATCCACAACAACTGTTCCAATGAGGTTATAGTTTCACACCAAATGCAAAAGAACTGTAATTGATTTCTGATTTATTACCCTCAGATCCCGTACTAATCTATATTCACCATTTTCAAAAATAATCACTGCATCCAATTTGGCCAATAAGTCCCGTCCTAAAAGGGGAGTGGGGCATTCAGGTACATATAGAAATTTGTGTGTTAATTCCTTTCCTCTAAGTCGCAGATTCAGGGGCTGCAAGAATGGTCGTATTTCCTCCTTCCCTGCGGCTCCCACAGTTGTTGTAGTTCTTTCCCTTAACCTTCCGTGTAAATCATTTAAAACTGAATAGGTAGCCCCTCTGTCTATTAAAAGTTTCACTTCTTTCTCTCCCAATTGTATTTTCACAAGGGGCTCTTCACTTCTCGCCCTCAGCTCAGGAAGTCAGCTTTGGTTATCAAACTCTCCTAGCATCATCGCCTTAGCTGCATCAGATCCCATAAAAGAATTCCCTGGAGACATAAATTGTCCTCCCCTAAACGGACATTCATTTTTCCAGTGTCCTTCCTGTTTGCAGTATGCACATTGATTATATCCTAACCTTTCTACATTCATTCCTGCTTTTGGATTACAAAATCCTCTTCCTCTAGGGTTAGAGAGACCCTGTTCTATCCCCTGGATTGCTGCCAACAAATTCTGCTGCTGATTGTTTTCAGGTAAATAAATCTCCAGGTGAGAAGGGTACTTTAATGCACACTGGTCCTTCTGTTCCAACTCCCTGTCTTAAAGGTGCAAGCACTCCTCTGGGCGTCTGAGCCTGCACTTTTCTTTTTTATTTCCCCTCTGGCGAGTTCTATGCAAGACTGGGGTAATGGGGAGGCTTGCTTTCTGATCTCTTTTACACACCCAGACTCTCGAGATCACTATCACTGTCATCTTCTCCCCCCCCTTTCTTCATTTAATGCTGGCGGGGCTGACAGAGCGACTGCCAAATCCAAACTTTCAATATCCCTCTGGTGTTGCAAGCTATTGTCTAAAACAAGGCACTTCATACATTTTCTCAGTAACACATTCCTTACACTGTTCATTAACATTTACCTTTACACCCATTATTTCACAAGATTTTTGCCACTCATCATTATTTCTTAAAGTAAAGAATTATATATAATACCTTGTCCCATTTTTCTTTCCTGTTATAACATCAACTGCAGTATAGTATTATACTGTAAAGTCCCATTTTTCAGGCCATTTCTCCTGATCCCCCAGTTCATATTGTGTCCACCATACATTACAATAATTAATTAATTTGCTTTTCAGCATACTCTGCCAAAATCTACCCTCCTTCCAATGGCTTAAAATACAGCCTAATGGAGAGGACTTGGGAACCGACAGCATTTTATTATTTTTTCCCTTTTTTTTTCTTTCCTTTTTTTCTCTTTTTCCCTTTTTTTTTTCTTTTTTTTCTCTTCTTTTCTCTTTTTCTCTTTTTTCTTTCTTTTTTCCTTTTTTTCCTTTTTTTTTCTCTTTTTCTCTTTTTCTTTTTTTCGCTTTTTTCCTTCTTCTTTTTCTTTTTTTCTCTTTTTTTCTCTACTCCACACACACCACACACTTGCCACTAAGTTACAACATTTAGCCAGACAGATGCTGATCCTGCAGCACAAATACCAATACCAATACCAATAACACTTCTGCCGAACCTGCAGAGCTTTCACCACTGTCTAACGGACGGCGCCTAGGCTTTTACCCCGGGAGCTCCCTAGCCCCAACTAAGCGCAGCTTTCGCCACGTCTAACAGGCAGGCTTTACCAAATCAGACTTCGTGAGGCCAGATGCAGCTTTCACCGCATCTCTCTGGTAGACTTTTCGAAGCCAAAGTTTCACCAAACCAAGCAGGCTTCGCCTACAGCCAAGCTTATCAGAAGTCTATACCCTTACACTTTACCAAAATTCGGTACTATAATTACCAAACCATACAAAAATTCGGTACCGTAATTACCAAACCATACGAAAATTTGGTACCGTAATTACCAAACCATACAAAATTTCGGTACCATAATTACCAAACCATACTTTACAAAATTGGCACTGTGACCGAATCAGAAAAAAGGAAAAATTACCTTCCTTACCCTATCAGAGGTCTGTCGTGAGCAGCGGAGGTCGGTCGCGGTCGATGGCTCCCCGAGAATCTCTCGGTGCCGGCTGGAGCAGGACCGAAACGCGATCCACCTCGGCAATGCCCACGAGGTCCCATCTGGGTCGCCAAAATGTTAGCGTAAGGACTGACCATTTTATATGATTATTTATCTTACAAACTTCACTCTTTTCTAACACTGGGAATGACAGGATGGTGCAGACTTTGGATCCATGATTTTCGTGTTCTGGTAAGACCACTATATGGACTGTTGAAAGGAAACTCTCCCTCTTTAAAATGGACTCATACAGCAGAGGGGACTTTTAGAAATTTAAAAACAGAGCTAATGAGAGCTGCAGCTCTGTGACTTCTGGATGTGACTAAATCCTTTTGGCTATATTCCTATGAAGAACAAAGAATAGCCTTGGGGGTCCTTGCTCAGAAACTAGGACCCTACAGAAGGGCAGTGGCATATTTTTCAAAACAGCTGGATGAAGCGAGCAAAGGATGGCCCGGATGCCTAAGGGCTGTGACAGCAGTTGTCATGAATATTGAAGAGGCTCGCAAATTCACCTTGGGACAAAAGATTACTGTACTAGCGTCCCATGTGGTATCAGCAGTCCTGGAGCAGAAAGGAGCCCACTGGTTATGTCCTTCACATTTCTTAAAATACCAGGGCACCCTTGTAGAACAAGATGATATAGAAATTATGATCACTAATGTTGTGAATCCAGCATCATTTTTGCAGGAACAGTCGACAGAACCACTAACACATGACTGCTTGGCCACCATAGAGACTGTATATTCGAGCTGACCAGACTTGAAAGAAAAACCTCTGGAAGATGGTGATTCCTGGTTTACCGATGGTAGTAGCTTCATGAATAATGGTAAACAAAAGGCAGGATATGCCATTGCCACTATTTCGCATGTAATAGAAGCTAAACATTTACCTGCTAACACCTCTGCCCAGAAGGCAGAAATAATAGCGTTAATGAGAGCCCTGGAATTGTCTAAAGATAAAAGGATAAATATTTGGACTGATTCTAAATAAGCATTTGGTGTGGTCCATGCACATGGTGCTACCTGGAAAGAACGTGGACTTTTGAACACACAAGGGAAACAGATTAAACATGCTACAGAAATTCTACAACTACTGGAAGCTGTTCAGCTACCTGAGGAAGTAGCTATTATGTACTGTAAAGGACATCAACAAGGTGACTCTGATCAGGAAATTGGAAATAATTTGGCCGATTTTGAAGCCAAATGAGAAGCTGAACATTTTAAAATCATGTCCTTAATCCCTGATGGCAAACTAACAATTGAAAAATCTAAACCTAGGTATTCAAAAGGGGATAGAAAATTGATTGAGGATCTAAAAGGACAGGAAAATAAAGAGGGTTGGGTTCAGATACCTGGTGGGCGGGTTGTAATCCCCTATAACCAGCTCTGGAAGTTAGTTCAGGAAGAACATAATAAAACTCATTGGGGTAGCAACTCTTTGCATAATTATTTAGACAATCAAATTGTAGGAAGGTATCTATACACCACAGTTCGATCTCCAGCTCAAAACCGTGATTCACATGAGTTGCGTATCCTTAACCAGGCTTGTAAAAAGGCACACGGGTTTAGCTGATTTGTGCTGATCTAAGCTCTTCCTCTCCGATGAGAAGCGCTTCTCCCTAGCTGAGTGTCTATTAAAACTGTGATGCAACATTAAATCTCCTCTCTGAGAGGTGTTTATAAGATGGAGATGTCCTGGGAAGTCCTGACCCACTGAAAAGGACTGGTGAGGTTAAAATTAAGTTTGCTGAATCTGAAAGTAGGCAGGGTATAAGCAGATGCAACTGACTTTAAAAGCAACTGCACCTATTTACTTTGCCTGGGACATGTACTTTAGCCTGGTTTATAATATCTGTGCTATTAATATTTATGCCTGAGTGGTAAACTTGTCTAGGTACAGAAGAATCTACCAGCGGCTTCTGCAACAATGGGTGCAGCATAATCAAAACAGAAAACTGTAAATTAGTTATACCAGAACGCAAAGGGTAAATTGATGCTGCCAGGCTTCGGCTTGTCTCAGCTGTCACATAATTGTTTACTATTTCCTCTTCTGGGATCTCATAGAAATTGTACAGAATAGTTAGTCATTAACTTGGGCGGTGTAATTTGGTGCCATAAATTTGAGATTAAATGTTTGCTTTAGTGAGCAGAAAAAGAGGGGTGTGTGGGGAGGAAGCTGTCTCCTTCAGCGCTTTCAAGGATTCCCAGGTAATGTGCATGTACTACTTGTCACGTGTTAAAGAGCAAAGTGTCATCAGTCACAGGAGAGGTTTTACTTGTGACAGTGCTGTTCCATTTGAAAAATGCTTTGCCTGAATTTGCTTTTGCTAACATGCAGTCTTCAGTGGTGGAGAAATAAGGTAATAATGACATTAAGTGTGGATTTTTGAACAGACTTTTTATAAATCTCTTACAGAGCAAAGAGTGGAAGATGCACTGCTGATTCGAGAGCAGCACCCAAGTAAAATACCAGTAAGTCTGGTTCTTTTCATTTTTCATTTCAATTTCCAGTCTCATATTCCTTTTAGTAGTGAGAAACGTGTGAAAGTGCTGTCCTGATGAGACCAGATGAAAGTCTGGCTGCTCAGGGTCACAAAGCCTGGATTTCAGAAACGTATGATATTATAGGCATCACAGAAACATGGTGGGATGGCTCCTATGACTGGAGTGTTGGAATGGAAGGTTACAGACTCTTTAGAAAAGACAGGCCTGGCAGGCGGGGAGGGGGAGTTGCAATTTATGTTAGGGATAGGCTGGAGAGTATGGAACTCTGTCTGGGGACTGGTGAGCAGTTAATAGAGAGTTTGTGGGTCAGGGTTAAAGGGAAAACAGCTATGGGAGACATTACTGTGGGGATCTGTTACAGACAGCCTGATCAAGAGGAATCTGCGAATGAAGCACTCTATAGGCGTATAGGAAAAGCCTCACGCTCACAGGCCCTTGTTCTCATGGGTGACTTCAACCACCCTGACATCTGTTGGAATGACGGTACGGCCCGGCACAAGCAATCCAGGAGGTTCCTTGATTATGTGGAAGACAACTTCCTTCTGCAAGTAATAGAGGAAACAACAAGGAGAGGTGCCATACTTGACCTTGTGCTCACCAACAGGGAAGGGCTCGTTGGAAATGTGGCACTGCAGGGCAGCCTTGGATGCAGCGACCATGAGACAGTTGAATTTGAGATCCTTAGGACAGTGAGAAGAGTGTGCAGCAAGCTCACTGCCCTAGACTTCAAAAGAGCAGACTTTGGCCTCTTCAGGAACCTGCTTAGTAAGGTTCCATGGGATATAGCCCTAGAGGGCAGGGGGGCTCAAGACTCTTGGTTGGTATTCAAGGATCACCTGCTACAAGCTCAGGAGTGTTGCATCCCAACTAGAAGGAAGTGCAGCAGGAGGGCCAGGAGACCTCCTTGGATGGATAAGGAGCTGCTGAGGAAAATTCAAAGGAAAAAAGAAAAATTCAAATGAAAAAGTGGAAGCAAGGACAGGCGGCCTGGGAAGAGTACTGGGATGTTGTCCAGGAAGCTAGGGACCAGGTTAGGAAAGCTAAGGCCCAGTTAGAATTAAACTTGGCTAGGGATATTAAGGATAACAGGAAGGGATTCTACAGGTACATAGCAAATAAAAAACAGACTAGGGGGAACGTAGGCCCCCTCAGGAAGCTCTTGGGAGAACTGGTTACCCTGGACTTGGAGAAGGCTGAGGTTCTGAATGACTTCTTTGCCTCGGTCTTCTCTAGCAAAGGCTCTGACCGCACCACCCAAGTCTTGGAAGGCAGACACAGGGACTGTGAGAATGAAGACCTTGGGCCCACTGTAGGAGAGGAATTGATTCGAGACCATCTTAAAAATCTGAAGGTGCACAAGTCCATGGGTCCTGATGAATTCCATCTGCGGATCCTGAAGGAGCTGGCAAATGAAGTTGCTAAGCCACTGGCCATCATGTCTGAAAAATCATGGCAATCAGGTGAAGTTCCTGACAACTGGAAAAAAGGAAATATAACCCCCATTTTCAAGAAGGGGAAAATGGATGAGCCGGGGAATTACAGACCAATCAGTCTCACCTCTGTGCCTGGCAAAATCTTGGAGCAGATTCTCCTGGAAGGCATGTTAAGGCACATGAAAAACAACAAGGTGCTTGGTGACAGCCAGCATGGCTTCACTAAGGGGAAATCCTGCCTGACCAATTTGGTGGCCTTTTATGATGGGGCTGCAGAGCTGATGGATAGCAGTAGAGCAGTTGATGTCATCTACCTGGATTTGTGTAAAGCGCTCGACACTGTCCCACACGACATCCTTGTCTCTAAATTGGAGAGACATCAATTTGATGAATGGACCACTCGGTGGATAAAGAACTGGCTGGAGGGTCGCACACAAAGAGTTGTGGTCAATGGCTCAATGTCCGGCTCAGGGATCGCTGTTGGGAGTGGTCTTTTTTAACATCTTCGTCACTGTCTTGGACAGTGGGATTGAGTGCGCCCTCAGCAAGTTTGCCGATGACACCAAGCTCTGTGGTTCGGTTGATATGCTGGAGGGAAGGAATGCCATCCAGAGGGACCTTGACAAACTTGTGAGGTGGCCTGATGCCAACCTCATGAAGTTTAACCATGCCAAGTGCAAGGTCCTACACCTGGGTCGGAGCAATCCCAGGCACAGCTATGGGTTGGGCAGAGAAGAGATTCAGAGCAGCCCTGTGGAGAAGGACTTGGGGGTGCTGGTCAATGAGAAAATGAACATGAGCCAGCAGTGTGCGCTTGCAGCCCAGAAAGCCAACCATATCCTGGGCTGCATCAAAAGGAGTATGACCAGCAGGTCGAAGGAGGTGATCCTGCCCCTTTATTCTTCTCTCGTGAGACCTCACTTGGAGTATTGTGTGCAGTTCTGGTGTCCTCAGCATAAAAAGGATATGGATCTGTTGGAACAAGTCCGGAGGAGGGCCACGAGAATGATCAGGGGACTGGAGCACCTCCCATATGAAGATCGGCTGAGAAAGTTGGGGCTGTTCAGCCTGGAGAAGAGAAGGCTGCGTGGAGACCTCATAGCAGCCTTCCAGTATCTGAAGGGGGCCTACAGGGATGCTGGGATGGACTCTTCATTAGGGACTGTAGTGATAGGACAAGGGGTAATGGGTTAAAACTTAAATAGGGGAAGTTTAGATTGGATATAAGGAGGAAATTCTTTCCTGTTAGGGTGGTGAGGCACTGGAATGGGTTGCCCAGGGAGGTTGTGAATGCTCCATCCCTGGCAGTGTTCAAGGCCAGGTTGGACGAGGCCTTGGGTGATATGGTTTAGAGTGAGGTGTCCCTGCCCATGGCAGGGGGGTTGGAACTTGATGATCTTAAGGTCCTTTCCAACCCTAACTATTCTATGATTCTATGAGTAGCCAGCAGTTGGTGTAGCAGAGCAAGGTGCTAGCTGGCACTGGAGGAAGTGGGGTTTCCTGTGTATTGCAGTTGTGTGTTGTAACTTCAAAGGAAACTATACCCTGGCTTGGTTCTGAGATTCCCTTGAGTGTTCAGCTCTCCTTATCTCAGTGTTTTTCTTCTCCAAAAGAAGAGTCCGCAGGGGCTAACCAAGGAGAATACAAAGTAATGTAGAGACAGATCCACCTTTTATCACCAATCTGTGTTGAGACAGAAATGTTTGTCTTCATAGAAATGAGGGCCCCAAATGCTACTTGGCTGTTAAACCCCTTACCTTGAAGAGATCAGCCCTCACCTTCTTATTCTTTAGCTGGTCATCTCCAAATGCTACCTGAATATTTGTTTTCCTTTACTTATGGCACCCTAAAGGTTACAAATGCAAAGTAAAGCATCTTAGGAAGCAATAGGCATGGATCATGTTATATCGATGATGAATTCTTTGCAGCTGGTGGGCTTTGTGTGATGGCTGTCACTGCAGTAAGCAATAAATACATATGGCTGGAACAGGGATGGTCATAGGAGATCTTCGGGGATGGAAGAGAGAACTGTATTGGATGCATCAGCCTTTGGTACTCAGTGATGAAAGCTGATGATCCCTGTGAGTGGAAATTCTGCTGTGAGCAGGTTGATTGCAAACTATCTGCACTTCCTGTACGACTTCATTAACAAAGCAGCTGTTGCTTCCATGTTGGATAAAAACCAAAAGGTTTTCAGCTTCCGTTCAGCTTTAAACTGTTTCATCGCAAAGCTGCTGCTGCTGTTTTACTGTGCTGTTGGGCATGGGAACAAGTTCTATTTTACAGCAGAAGGCTGTGGTTTTTTTTTGTACTTTTCTGGAATGCACAATTTTCCCAAAAGGCCCTTTCCTAACAAATCCTGTTTCCTGACCAAACATTGCTTTTAGAGAATCATAGAATAGTTAGGGTTGGAAAGGACATTAAGATCATCTAGTTCCAACACCCCTGCCACAGGCAGGGACACCACACACTAAACCATGTCACCCAAGGCTCTGTCCAACCCGGCCTTGACCACTGCCAAGGATGGAGCATTCACAACTTCCTTGGGCAACTCATTCCAGTGCCTCACCCCCCTCACAGTAAAGAACTTCCTTATATCCCAACCTAAATTTCCCCTGTTTAAGTTTGAAACCATTACCTCTTGTCCTACGACTACAGTCCCTAGTGAAGAGTCCCTCTCTAGCATCCTTGTAGGCATCCTTCAGATACTGGAAGGCTGCTATGAGGTCTCCACGCAGCCTTCTCTTCTCCAGGCTGAACAGACTCAACTTTCTCAGCCTGTCTTCATACGGGAGGTGCTCCCAGCCCCCTGATCATCCTCGTGGCTCTCCTCTGGACTTGTTCCAACAGTTCTATGTCCTTTTTATGTTGAGGACACCAAAACTGTACACAACACTCCAAGTGAAGTCTCACGACAGCAGAGTAGAGGGGCAGGATCATCTCCTTCAACCTGCTGGTCACGCTTTTACACCCACCTTTCACAGCTCACTGTAGTCCCCAAGCTCTGTGACCACAGATGGAAAGCAAAGCTCTCATTTTAAGTCAGCCACAGATATGCTACTAGCAAAAATTCAAAGGGACGTACGCAACTTGGTGAAGATACAGTGATGCAAACTCCCAGTGATGGCAGAGGCCTGCTGGGATCCTTAGAGGCTTGCTGGATTTGCCTGTATGTGTCCTAGCTTTGAGATAAGATGGCCGTGTCACGCTAGCTGGTAAATCCCTCCCATGCTGTTAACATCCTTTGTTTTGCTGTTGGAAATATTATCTATTGGTTATGGTCTGCTTTTTTAAAAATAAGGGTGTGGGTTTTTTTTTCCAGAATGAGCCAGCATTTATTTATACTGCTGTAAGGGAGTCTTTCTCTGAAATAATTAAATTGGCTTGCTATCTCTTAATCTGTGCAGATTCTGAATATCAACACAGCCAGGCCCGGTAAGCATGGAAACGATCCAAGGGAATGGTGTCACGTTGCTACCGTTGCTTTAGAAACAACAAACCCCACATGGATGTGGAAGCAGGCGTGCACAAATTCTGAGATCATTTCTTAAAAACAGGAGCTACATACAGTTGCTGGGCAGGGTGCAGCTTAAATTGGCAAACCTGCAACTTCCTTGTGAATTTGGTATTTACTACCTAGCAATCTTGATGGAATTAGTGATTCCTAAGCATGCTGTCTTGAGATTAAGAAGGAGAAAGTTCTTTCCTTTGAGGCTTTATAGTCTTCAAAAGTAGCTTTCTCTCATGCATTAGAGTTACCATGGGAGGTGAATGGAATCACATACTAATCTGGAGGTGTAGTTCTTAGAAAGAGAAGGCCCTAAACTGGTGAAATTCTAGTGAAAACTGATTGATTTTGCAGACTTCTGTAGCAGCCCAAGCTCCTAATCAGCCATTGTAATGTGCTAGAGTGAAGTGTGCTTTTTCTTGATTGAGATGGGGAAAGAACAAGAAAGAGAATGAAGGATAGCTCGTATATAGAACTAACCTTTTGCTTATAACTAAGTGACCTGGACCCCAGGTGGACTTTATAGCAGTGATAAGGAAGAGAACCCTTCAGTTAATGTTTAGGGAAATCAGTTAGAACCAACTAAGGAGCTGGCAAACAGACAAGGCTGGCCAACTCCAAAGTTCAGCCAAAGGACGAAGTGATGAAGAGGAAGATGATGAAGAAATGATCACCAGGAGTCCCAAAGACCACTACCACATTCTTGTGTGCATGCAGGAGGAATTTTCTGGAAGAGTGATGTCATGTATAAGTAGTTTTATGAATACGCATGTAATGGAATGAATATATATGTTTGATGACTATATAATCATGGCTTGTTTTGTGCTCGAGCGTGACACACTTGGAGGATCTATCTCCTGTGTCTCCTGGTGCCGCAATAAAAAATACCTGCTTGTCAACTTAAACTTTGTTGGCGAGTTCTTAGCATTTTTCTACAAATCATGGTTTCCTTGTTGCTGGGCAATTCAATGTTAGATTAAATGATTCCATCAAATTAACTGCAGTTCTAAAACTGCACTGAAGCTATGAATGTGTGCTGCTAAATCCCTGTTTGTTCCCCCTTTGAGCAGTGACTCATGAACAGAACAAGAGGAGCACATGAAGACAATAGTAATTGTTTCTTTTCAGATGTGAGAGGCTGCATTCACAAATTAGGGGAAATGGAGTTTAGCATAAATGCTCATACTTTGTTGTGTTTAGAATGGAGGGGGGAGATGAGGGCATCAGACACAGTTTCTGCCTTTCACGTATTCTGCTCCTTTCTTTTTGTGTTTTTCCTTAGGTGATCATTGAAAGGTACAAGGGAGAGAAGCAGCTTCCAGTTTTGGATAAGACCAAGTTCCTGGTGCCAGATCATGTCAACATGAGCGAGCTAATCAAAATTATCAGGTAGTATGCTGTGATTTCAGTGTAAGTTGCATTAGCCTAAGACTGTTTCTTTGTTAATTCCTCACCTGGTGTATGCATTTGGGAACTCTTTAAATAGAAAATTCATCTAATGGGCCCTTGGTATCATCACTAGGACAAATTGGTACTTTTCCTTTGGCTTTTCAGGAAACAAACCCCAAACCTCTGAAAATTGTTGAGCTGTTAGTCTGCTTTCAAGAGAAATAACTGTCTCCCTGAGACGTAGGAGAGAGTCTGGGTCTGTGAATCCCCATCTAACAGTGGTGCCTCTGTCTCAGTGCTTCAGTGCTTCCTGCTCGGCTATTTTAGGCTGCCTTCTTGGTGTTCCACTTGGGATTCCCTCTCTGGAGTTCCTGTATCTTCCCACCCACTGGAGGGGGAGTGTGAGCTCACAGTCAGAGCTCTGAGCTATTGCTCAGGGTAGATGTTGGCACCCTTTGATCCTGAAATGAGGTTTCCCTCAATGATGGTGTTGAGGCCTGAAGAAACACCCCTTCAGACTAGTGTCTTTGTCCCAGCTGTTTGTACAGACTGTGGCTTGAGGACTACTCAACTCTGGTACTGCAGCTTTGATTACAAGAGCAGGAAAAATAGCCATGGAGTGGAAGTTGTGTGGTCAAAATTTCTGCTAGAAGTGCGTTTCTCCTGGTTTAGAAGGAATAGTTGTTGATTAGTAAAAGCTCTCAAGTGGTAAACTTGGAAGTTAACAACAAACCAGAGTTTGCTTTTTGTTGGTCATGGTATAGCAGGGAGCTGGTTCCTGGAGGCCATAAGCTGTAAAAACTGAGACTTGTCCAGGTTGTCCAAACAATCCCGTCTCCAAGACTTGTACAGAAACTGTCTGTTGTGAACAAATCCCAGCTCTTACACGAGTAAGAAAGTGAGATAGGGTTTTGGAAGCAGGATCGAGATTGTTCAAGTCTTCCAGAATTTCTCATGAATATTAAAGGTCCTGGGCAAAAAGGTTAACAGCAAGCTAAAGGATATTTCCCACCTTTTTGCTTTGGCTTTATTGTTAATAGATAACTCAGTACCAGCTGGACTTGGTCTTCTGCCAGCCCATCTTGTGCATAGCAAGGCGTGTCCTTCCCAGCCCTCAGGTAGCTGCTGCCTTTTCCCAGCCTGGTGTCTTTGGGGTGATGAGAGATTGGGTTTGGATTGGCTGAGAAATTTGGGGCTGTTCATCCTGGAGAAGTCTGCGTGGAGACCTCATAGCAGCCTTCCAGTATCTATAGGGACCAGTATCTTCCAGGACCTATAGGGATGCTGGGGATGGACTCTTCATTAGTGCCTGTAGTGATAGGACAAGAGGTAATGGGTTAAAACATAAACAGGGGAAGTTTAGATTGGATATAAGGAGGAAATTCTTTCCTGTTAGGGTGGTGAGGCACTGGAATGGGTTGCCCAGGGAGGTTGTGAATGCTCCATCCCTGGCAGTGTTCAAGGCCAGGTTGGACGAAGCCTTGGGTGAGATGGTTTAGTGTGAGGTGTCCCTGCTCATGTCAGGGGTGTTGGAACTAGATGATCTTAAGGTCCTTTCCAACCCTAACTGTTCTATGATTCTATGATTCTATGAGCTAAGGTGTGAGCCCAAGGACCTTCAGGCCTTGTGTGTTCCCTAGTTGTACTGGGATCACCTTGGCTTCTCCTTTTCCCTTCAGTTTAGAAGCCTTGTCAAGTGGAGCTTTTCCAGAGGAATAAGGGCTTCTGCCAGTGGATATGTCTGACTAGGCTGAGTAGTTGAACTTAGTAGAACTTTGAGGTGGGAAGCAAATGCCTTCTCCAGTGGCAGGGCTACTTTGTGTGGGGTCATCTTACTGCTGCCAGTGGTGGAGGACTTTGTTTTGCCGTGTGTTGTAAAGCCTTTATGAAGTGTGTAGAAATGCCAAGTCATCACTGTCACACTCTTTCCTCCTCTGCTCCCCTAACCTCTCCCTCACAGGCGGCGCCTGCAGCTGAACTCCAACCAGGCGTTCTTCCTCCTGGTGAATGGACACAGCATGGTGAGTGTTTCCACACCCATATCCGAGGTGTACGAGAGCGAGAAGGATGAGGATGGATTCCTGTACATGGTGTATGCCTCTCAGGAGACTTTTGGAGTGTAGTCTTCCGTCTAAGACATGCAAGTGGCTTCTAGCCTAGCATTCTGGTTTACCCTTGGCTGTCACCCTCACTCTTCCCCAGGAAAAGAAACAGATGTCACCTATGCTCTCAGTACTTTAGCATAGTCTTGCTTTAGCAGGTGTCTCATCTTACTTTGTTTTGTTTGTGACTATTAAACAGTACAGATGAGCACCTCCAGCTTTGAAACCTGCTGTAATATTCCACACAGGCACATTTACATTTCTGGACTTTATGAATGGAACCTGATTGTGCATATGGCCATTGCAAATAAAGAGACACTTGACTGACTTTTAACAAGCAAACAGGCACCAGGGAGTACCTAAAGTGTTCTGTGACAGTTTTCTAGAAAATCTCCCTGATTCCTTAAAGCTTTCTTTTTTTAAATAATGGGAAGGCTTCTTATGCAAATGTTTTAATGTTCCAGAGTGAAGCTTTGTCTTCTGCAGCATAATCAGACTCGTGTCAGTGCTGCAGTGATTTAAGGTGAGCGCTTGAGGTGAGCTGGGGGAGTCCAACTCTTTTTGTCTGTTTTTTGTGGCATCTCAAATGTAGGAACGGTGCCAGTTTCTGAAATACTCATACCAAACACCACAGCTTTATTGTAGTTTTAGGAAGTGTTTAACTGTAAAATACACACCTGGACAGGTAACATTGAAATAAACTCCAGTCTGTTATTCCTGTGTGTTCAGTGAAACACTGTTCATATGAGCTTGCTTCCTAAAGATTCCCCCCCCCCCCCCCAGCCCAGAGGTTTGCCTGTTCCCTTGCTCAGCAAAGACTGCCAGGAGGAGTCAGTGGAGGGACCCGCTAGCAGCACTGGGGCTTCTGGGATGTGCATGGCCAGACATGGAGCAGGCCAGTGCTGGCTGGAATGTTCAAGCCCTCCAATGGCTTTGTTGTACCCCTCCTGTTGTACTTAGCACTAAACTTGGACCTGCCACTAGAATTACCGGCCCATGCTGCTTAACCAGTCTGGCACTTGTTTTGGGTCAGGGAGAACGGCTTTTGGAAGCAGCTCAGCCCCAGGAGCTGCTGTCCAGAGATGAACAAATGATTTTTGCCATCACTGATGTTTCCTGCCACTTGCATGGTGTTGGGAAGATCCTGGTATTAGGCCTGTCCTGAGCAGGGAAGCAGCCTGTGCAGAGAAATGGTATGGCGTAGGACCTGTGTTTCTCCTCTAGAGTTGCTGTCAAGTGAAGCGTAGCAGGATGAGATTACTCATGTATATTATGTGTCTGTGAACTAACTGCATCTGTTACTGGACACTAACTTACTATAATGGAGGAAAAAGAAGCAATACTACTACTGCTCCTCAGTGCTCTAGCTCAGCAAGGTGTACACTTTGTACTACCTACACATCTCTGCATGCATCGCCCTCACAAGGCTGACTGACTTGGGATTTTTTTATTGTTTGTTGTGTTTGTACTCCAATGTAAACTTTTAAATGCAGCTTGTTCTATGTTTAGTTTTGTTCGTGTAAGGAATTGTTTAACTCATAACTGACAACCATACTTGTAATTACATGATTGATACTCCTGTACAAATTTTGCCTTTTTAAACTTAATACAGTGCCAATACAGATGGATTACATCCCAACAGCTTGTGTGGTTATTTCTAGACAGCTTACTTAGGTACAGGACCTGCTGGTGCTGATCACTGAGCCCAGAGTGTGCCTACATACCTCCATTTTGCTGTTCCTGCTTGACCTACCTCTCCCTCACGGCTTCAGAATCCTTATGCTCTCACAACTGGGACTCTGCTCCTCTGGAATGAGCCCTGGCACCGGCCACAGAAGGTTTAAGGACACAGCAAGGTGGCAATTCCTCTTGCTCACCCCCAACCCATACCTTGCTCTGCAGTCAGCACATGAGGGCTGACGTGAGGTGGCTGAGTGGAGCCCAGAGGCTCAGCTGACACCTTCTTACAGAACAGGGGCCAAAGCTTCCCTGCTTGTCCCCCCATGATGTTGCCGTGGGTAGGCACTAGAGTTGGGCCACAGATACCCTTGGTAACAAACCCTTTCAGAGCAGCTTGTCTTCCTTGGCTCAGCTGGGAATGGAGCATTTGCAAGCACAATAGGCCTGTGTTTCACAACCAGATGTCTATGGGTGGAGAGACAGTAGCAGCAATTAAAGGAATCAAAAAGAAGAGCCCCTGGTAAGTGCCAGGCAGGAGAAGCCCCCACACAGATGAAGCCCCTTTAAACAAACCAACCCCCCCCCCAGCAAAACAAAAATACAAAGGGATTCTGTTTAACTCTTTATTTTCCATACATTAAATTTATTCAGATAAAAACATTCTAAAAATGTACAATTTTACTTTTAACAAAGTATAATAAAACATAAAAATCCCAATACCAGAATACCTGACATTTACAATTCAAAATCAAATTAGCTGAATACTAAATATTTCCAAAACTATTTAAAATATTTATAAAGTTACATGCGCAATTTGTAATACTAGAATTGATTGAAGTAAAAGAAATGGCTCAAACGGAACAGGAGTTTCTTTCATTCCTAGTGGAAAGTTATGTTCAAGAGAAGCTGTTAAACTGCACTTGCAAACACACAAGATTTGCTTTCTGCTTCAGTACCAACATGGTTCTTCCTTATGTTAGGAAAAATGGAAGGGAGCAAAGGGGTAGTTCCAAGGGTTTGGTACAGGAGGTGTCGTTGGGCCGTGGCCTCACCCACCCAACATATTTCTGGGCCTCTTGAAGTGCTCAGTCACAGATTTCTCTGTCCACATCCCTCTCATTTAACAGCATTCCAGACTAAAAACCAGGCAGTGGACCAATGCTCTGGGGGTTCAGATGATGTCAGGTTTATTTTGGGGAGGAGCGTTGCTCTGAATGCCACCAGGCCCCGTTTCATTTCCAAGTACCCTCTCACCCTCTCCATATGGAGCAAGCAGTGCTGTCCTTGAAAAAGGCTGCTTGGTCATTCAGGATGCTGCCGAACAAGACTGTCATCTCCTGGGTCAGACTTGAGCACTGCTTGCTCCATATGGAGAGAGGCCTAGAAAAGGTGGCCTAACCAAAGCTCATCTCCCCCTCCACCTGGTTGGCTAGCCACAGCCAACGGGCATCTTCTATTGCGGTCAATTAAAAACAAAGAGACAAAGGCATACACCTGCCTCCAAAGGTGTGTCCAGATTGACACTCGCATGTTGGAACATCAGAACCATGCTTGATACAGTGAACAGTGGGCGTCCTGAGCGCCGTTCTGCGCTAATTGCCCATGAATTGTCACGTCTTAACATCGATATCGCTGCACTCAGTGAAGTTCGCCTTCATGAGGAAGGTAGCCTCAAAGAACATGGTGCTGGCTATACACTCTACTGGTCAGGCAAACCCAAAACTGAAAGTCATCTTTCTGGAGTCGGCTTCATGATTAAAAACTCCATAGCCTCCAAACTTGAAAATTTGCCGATAGGTCATTCCGACCATATTATCTCCTTACGTCTTCCACTGCACAATAAGCAACACGTTGTTCTTTTCAGCATATATGCTCCAACTCTGCAAGCTGACCCTGCAGAAAAAGAAAAATTCTACTCCGACCTGCGTCACCTCACTCAGAAAGTTCCTATAGAAGATAAGATCATAATCCTTGGTGACTTCAACGCCCGAGTAGGAAAGAACTTTGAAGCCTGGAAAGGAGTACTAGGCAAGCACGGTGTTGGCAACTGCAATGATAACGGTCGTCTCTTACTAGAGTTCTGTGCAGAGCAACAGCTTACCATCACCAACACTATCTTCCAGCAGAAAGACAGCTGGAAGACAACCTGGATGCATCCTTGATCTAAACATTGGCACCTTATTGATTATGTTTTAGTACGCCAGAGAAATATTCGTGATGTCTGCCAGACCAGAGTGATGCCTAGTGCAGAATGCCAAACAGACCACCGCCTTGTGCGTTGCAAACTTAATTTCCACTTCAAGCCCAAACCTAAGAGGGGCGGCATTCCAAGGAGGAGGCTCAATGTTGATAATCTTCAAATAGCTGCAGTGAGGGACAGCTTTCAGGCTAACCTTCAAACTAGGCTTGAAGACCAACTTATAGTTTCTTCTCCTGAAGCGCTTTGGCAACATATCAAAAACAGCATCCTGCAGTCCTCCATAGAATCCATTGGGTTCTCCTCAAAGAAAAACAAAGACTGGTTTGACGATAGCAACCAGGAGGTCCAGGAATTGCTGACAAAAAAGAGATCAAGCACACCTCGCTCAGCCACTCTGCCATGTAAGAAAAGCAGCCTTTCGTCTTGCATGTAGCAAACTCCAACAGAAACTTAGAGACATCCAGAACAAGTGGTGGCTCAACCTAGCAGAAAAGACTCAACTATGTGCAGATTTGGGTGACCACAGAGGATTCTATGAGGCTCTGAAGGCAGTGTATGGACCCACATTCCAGGTTCAAAGCCCCTTACTTGGTGCAGATGGCCAAACGCTTCTTACAGATAAAATCTCCATCCTGAATCGTTGGTCTGAACATTTTCAAACCCTCTTTAGTGCTAATCGTGTAGTCCAAGGTGAAGGAATCCAGCACATTCCGCAACATCCGGTGAAAAACGAATTGGATTTAGCCCCTACCATGGGAGAGACTCTTAAGGCCATACAGCAGGTGAAAACTGGCAAGGCAGCTGGGGTTGACGGAGTCCCACCTGAAATATGGAAGCATGGAGGCCAAGCACAAGGTCGACAAAGAGATAGACAACAGAATAGCAAAGGCATATAGAGCCTTTGGAAAACTCCATAAAAGAGTCTGGTGTAATAAACACCTGAAGAAAAGTACAAAGATCAGTGTCTACAGAGCCATTGTATTGTCTACTCTTTTATATGGGTCTGAATCATGGGTCATCTACCGTCATCACCTGCGACTCCTGGAACGCTTTCATCAGCGCTGCCTCCGTACAATTCTAAACATCCATTGGACTGACTATGTGTCTAATGTCACTGTCCTCGAACAGGCAGGGGTCACCAGCATCGAGGCCACATTGCTGAAACTGCAGCTGCGCTGGGCAGGGCACGTCTCTAGAATGAAGGATCACCGCCTCCCCAAGATCGTGTTTTACGGTGAACTTGCCACTGGTAGCCGCAAGAGAGGTGCCCCAAAGAAGAGATATAAGGACTCCCTGAAACAATACCTTAGCCTTGGCCATATTGACTACCATCAGTGGTCCACCTTGGCCTCCAATCGGGAGACTTGGAGGCACACCATACATAATGCCGCTGACTTCTTTGAGAGCTCACGAAGAACTAGTCTTGAGGAGAAAAGACAACGCAGGAAGAATCGTGTCCCACCTGTTCCACCCAAGGAGACCTTCTGCTGTGCTTTTTGTAGCCGGATTTGCCTATCCCACATTGGCCTTCTTAGTCACCAGCGCACTTGTAGTAAGCGTGGGTAAATGCCCTTCCCAAATCTTCGTTCGCGAAGTCAAGCCATGATGATGATGATGATGATGACCCTCTCACCCTGCAGCTCGCCAGCCAAGAATAGCACAGAATGGAACTGGGGTAATGGTAAAGGCCTAGCATTAGACTGTTATTTTTGGAAGTCTAGCACTTAATTGTATGAAAAGGTTTCACATAAAGGGGAGTGCAATATGCTGTTTGAAGAAGTCTCATGGAACTCTGATCCATACCCCGCTTGCTAAAACAAGGCTTCCTTCTT